ATTAACACTGCAGGCCTATAGCTTTATGTACTGATTAGGAGCATATTAAATCAATAGGACACACAGCCCAACAGCTTGCAGAGCCCCTGCTTGTGGTTCAGGGATGATATTCTGGGTTTCACCAAGCCCAGGGACACAAATCTGCTTTATTTCACCTCAGATTTGCTCATCATGTGCAGACAATCTTAATAAACTGAGGGTTTATTATATGTAGTATATGTATTATAGGTGCAATGAATATTTCAATTATTTGGAATAATTGCTCTGCTCACACTAAGAAAGCTCCAGCACTGCTCCTTTCCATGACTGAGCTCTTCCTGAAGTCTTTGGGCTCCTTTCCTTTCCCTGTTAAACATGATATCAGTTAGAAGAAATGCTAAAATGCTGGAAATGCATTTTCTGGGGATCTGTCAGGGTTTCTGGCCCTCTTGAGGCTGGAAGAATTCCACACCTGCAATTGCACGTGCACAGCTGGCTCCTTCCTTGAGAACCCCCTCCCTGGGCTCTAGGTGTTACACCCAGATCAATCAACAAAAAGTCAGGAAAAAAGCAGTGTTAGGAAGCTCTGCTGTGTTCAAAGGGGGTCAGGAAGGAGTGTGCTGGCACTGGCAGGTTTCTGAAATTACGTTTTTGATGGATTGGTTTTATCCTGATTTGTTTGCGCACACATCCTCCTCTGAGTTCCTGAACTCAGCAAAGAAATAAGATGTGGAAATCTCAGTACATGGAATTCATCCAAGCAGGACACAATCTGCTCCCCACTATTCCTGACTGCCAGCTAATCCCAAAATTCATCTATTACTTCCTGCAGGACTTTTAAAAGCTGACCAAAAAAAGATTCATTTAAAGCAGCATCCTGCATTTTGCATTCCTATTTCCCAACAGCAATCATTGCAAAATCCTGCAAGCAGCACCAAATCTTGTTTTAGGTGATTCAGACCAAAAATTGTCCAGAATTGTCACCTTTTGAAAAGGTTCTGATTTCCTCATTGTAATAAATTAACTGAATTATAGCCTGTAAGGAAAAGAAACGGAGACAAAATCCTCTGACTCAATTGGAGGAGTAAAACTCAAATGTTTTTCTAGCAAAGGCTGCCCAAGTGCATTAAATCTTATTTTTTCCCCTATTTGATGATATTGGACAGATATTTGATGGAGAGTTTTGAAATGGCTGTGTAGCTATCACCAGTTTTTTAAGGGCTTGTTCAGAGAGTATTTGTTGCTTGTTTTTCTGTGTCTTGTTCTATCCCTGGATTTTCAGCTCTTCTTTATCCCTTTGTCTCCAGCCTGATCTTTGTTCTTTTCAGACTTGCTGCTAGATAAACTCACATCATGTTGTTGGTCCTGGTGGTTAATTAAGTCACAGGGTAATAAAAGATAATTCTAAAATTAATTTCAGTAGTAATTTAATCTAGTGATTTACTACAATTCCACATTTATACAAGAGGATGGGATCCTGCAGTCCTGTGTTATTTATATAAAGGGAGTTGTTAAAATAAGAAAAAAGGCAATGCCAACAGGAAGGTGATGTTCTCTTTGCCCTAAAAGGGAAGAGTTTTGGGAGTTTGAGTTCCTAAGAAAAAGGAAAATATGAAGACAGAGTGAGTTTATCCATTACTTGGATACTCTCCCAGCCTCCAAGAAGTCAGAATCCCTCTAAACCAGAGATTGTGTCAGCAATAATGAGAATTTTCCATGAATTTAGTCTCCCAGCAAGGGTCCATAAAAGTTTGGGTGAGATTTTCCAGAATCTGAGCTGCTGACTTGGAGCAGGAATGAGGTGCCCAGCTATACCATATATTAATAAAGACTATGGATATCTTAATCCAGATATTCCAAAAAATGATTCACTTTTTCTTACAGCAGCAAAGCCACTTTTCGTGCTATGCATGGGGTGACTGCAGCTTGAACTAGTACAGAAAACCTGCAGATGTTAAAAATGAATTTATTTGTTCCCTACAATCATCATTCACCCTACAAGATACCGAGTCTCCTTATCAGATTAACTGTTTTTTGGGGTTTTTTTGTACACAACCAGGGCCAGACCCTGATGTTCTTTTCCACACAGGAAGATGTCTCCAGAACCAACCCCATAAGTGCCAAAAGTTCAGCAGTTTCTCTGGATATTGAACCATTGGAGCCTGGGCCTCAGGATAAAATTCCTCTGCTGACAGACTCGAGCAGTGCACAGGGGGCTGATGGACTTGGAGACATTTTGCAATTGATGAATTCAACCCTTCCTGCAGCTGCAGATTAATTGTTCAGATAACTCAGAGGCTGCATTAAGTTAACAAGGTGAAACCCATCCATAATCCTGTTGTGCATTTGGGGCTGCCCCAATGCTGTATTTGCACTGAGGAATCTAAAACCAGGCTCATTTTTAGCTGGAATAGATTTTTACACAGTTCAAACTCACCAAGTCCATTATTTTTAATCTGTTGCCTACTCCACACCACTGAGGAAAATCTGGGTGGCGTGTCTTAAACTGCTATGCAAATGATGCTATTTGTAAGTATTACCATAATTTAGTGCTTACAGTCATGTTCTCATTTCTAATAATTCCACCAGAATGGAGAGGCTTTTCACTGTGCTGCTAGCCTGCAGGATAGTCTTTCATCAAGAAGCTGAATTTTTTAATAACCTGCCAGCATCCGTTTGTGTGTGGCAGTGACACGATGTCTTCATTATCAAAGGAACCAGGTCCCCACACTGCACCAGGACATGAAAGCACAAACTCCTGCTTTGATGTTTAAATGTGGATCATTACAATGGTGTTCCCTGACAAAGGAGTGTTTTAATCCCCTGCTCTCCTGTGCTGAGGCTGGGGAGGCTGTGAGTCCTTATTTCAAAAGAGGGTAAACGTGGAAGGCAGGGAAATTGGAGAAACGTTCAAGGTGCTCGGAACAGCAGCAAGTTCCACACTTTGGAATCACAGAGAGGTTGGATCGGGAGGGATTTTCAGGATCATCCTGATGCCTCAGCTTTCAGCTTTTATATTTTTCAGATTCTGTGCTGCTTTAGTGTGTGGGTCTGGGTTCACATTCAGGGATGGTGAGCTCTGTGCACAGAGCAGGGACACAAAACAATTCCTGCTCCAGCTGGGCACCAAGGACAAATGACCCAAATCTCAGCCCAGGAGCACAAACCCCGTGGGCTGCAGAGAGAAAAACAAGCAGGGTGGGACTGCCCGGGCTAAAGCTGCAATGGGACAATGAACTGCAAGGTGCAAATGGAGCAGAGCTGATCCCAGGGACAGAGCCCGTGCCCCTCGTGCATTTTGGGGCCATTTTGGTTCATCTTGGGTGCAGCCCTGGCTGGGCTCTGGTGCTGCCCAAGGTGGATCCATGGAGGAGATGCTTTGAATGAATCCCTGCTTTATTCTGGAGCTCTGCCCAGCCTCTGCTCCAGCTCAGCCTTCCCAAGGCATCGATCCCATCCCATCACCTCCCACCATCCCAGGCTGCTCCAAGCCCTGGCCAGCCTGGCCTGGGACGCTTGCAGGGATCAGGAACCCAGAGCTTCTCTGGACAACTTTGGCAAAGGCCACGTCAGCACTGGCCTGGAATTGTCTGCTGACTTTGGGAAATGAGATCAAATTCATTATTCCATATTTGTTTCCCAACTTCCAACGTGTGTTTGCATTTAGGGGTTTGTCACTGGTTGTACCCAAGCTCGAGGCAGCAAAAAGGAAGTCTGGGCTCCCTGTGGCCTTTATGCAGAACCACTTAGGGAAAGAATGGAAAAGGCACAGAAACAGGGAATGTCACTGCAATCAGGGACAACTGCAGTGCTGGCTCCTGGTTGTGTCCTGGCTCAGGTCTGGGGGCAGGCCCTGGACACATCCTGAGCTTTGTGTCCCACTGGGCTGGAATTTCAGGGTCTGCTTCGTCCTGCCTGACTTGCACATCAGAGGAATTATCCCTTCAGCTTTCTATCAGGAACTGTTTTATAATGTGGAATTATTCTGTATCTGTCAAACACAGCAGAACTGTAATCAGCCCAATTTGAAACTTTAATATACAATATAATTCAATCAACCCCAAATTTCAAATCCGTTTTGATTGAATTTAAAAAAATCAGAGGAGCTATAATGAGTAGTTTATGTAAATTAAACAATTTTTCTGGATACATTCCTTCTGGCTTAAAAACCATTACATTAGGAATGAATTTGGCAAGATACACAGAAATATCAAATGCTTATTGAAATTAAGACATTTAAATACCAATGAATATTTAAACTACAAATAGTTCTTGGAATGCCAGAATAATGAAGTGTGGTTTCATATGGATTTTTCTGCAGTTAAAATGTATCATCTTCCAGCTTCTCAGTCCTGGGGATTCTTAGGAATCCAGGAGTGCCTGAGTTCATGCTCTAATGTTTCCCTTAGATTTTTACAGATGGCTCTCCTTACCTGAACATCCCTGGTAATAAAACTTACAGCAGCTTAATGATCACCAAAACCTACAAGTGTTGTCTCATAGAGGTTTAAAAACTATTAATGAGGCAAAACATCCAGAAAAAAATAATCCATAGAAAACCAGCTGAAAAACCAATCAGTTTGTACGATTTCAAATTAGTGGCGTTCAGCTATTTTAATGCCAATCCCAATTAATCTTTGTTTCAATAATTCCAAATTTCTATGGAAAGAATTCCAATGGAGATTAGGCTGTGCTGCCTATAAACCTTCCTTCATATGTCTTCACAAAAATATATAAAATTTTATATGTATAAAAAATGTATAAACCCTGCCTTTTATTGCATAGGAAGTGTTACAAATCCTTCCACAGTCGGCTGCCAGGCATTCCTTCATATTTTGGAATATTATTTTGGAATATTTCCCTGTTTTATTTGAATTACTGCTGCTTTGTGATGCCAGGCTGGGCTGTGATGTCAACATTTACCTTCGAATGAAGGCTCAGGGAGGAGATTTGCAGCAAGCAGGGACCTCAGGGGACACAAAGAGCCAAGACAACCCAGAAGACGCAGTTTTGTTACTCACACGAGCCTGGCTCTCCCTCCACGCCTCCACACCACGTTCCTGCTGCTCCCTCTGGATCCAGGGGTGGCATTCCAGGTGAGAAATGACATCACAGAAGGCAGTGCCATCTCCTGCACGCTCATCATCCACCTTGAAGAGCCAGCGCTGCACCTCCAGGTTGTCCAGGACGAGCTGGCTGAGGGCACGGAGCAGCTGCAGGGCAGGGACACAAAACCCTTCACACCTCCCGCTCCCAAACATTGATTTGGGACATTTATTAATATTTATTTTCCTAAATACATGTGGGAAATGGATTTCTAGACAATCCTCAAAGCCTGACAGAAGGCTCACATAGTGTGATTTGAAAGATAGAGTTTGCACCTTGGCTAAAGGAGCTTTAAGTTTCTATATATTGATTAAGATGACATACATTGAGTATTATATATTTTATATATAAAATATTATATATTAGATAATATATACCATATTTTAGACATTATATAATATTATTTATAGTGTAATTATTTATTAAAATAAGTTTCTATACATTAATTATTATAGTGACAATGCCAGTGATAAAGCCCTGTGTGATAGATATAGTATGATATATTATATTATATATTATATTGACACTATATTTTATATATTATTAATATTATATTATAATTATTTATTAAAATAAGTTTCTATACATTATTATAGTGACAATGCCAGTGATAAAGCCCTGTGTGATATATAGTATGATATATTTTGTATATAAAATATTATATATCAGATACTATATACACTGTATTTTATTTATTATATAATATTATATATATTATAATTATTTATTAAAATAAGTTTCTATTGAAACTTCTATTGTATTCTAATGATTATTATAGTGACAATGTCAGTGATAAAGCCCTGTGTGATATATATAGTATGATACATTTTATATATAAAACATTATATATTCTATTAGATAATATAGACACTATATTTTATATCTTATTTAATATTATATATATTATAATTATTTATTAAGATAAGTTTCTACACATTGATTATTACAGTGACAATGTCAGTGACAAAGCCCTGTGTACTTCATTGTGCACAGCAATCAAAGAACAAAACCATCAAAGAAGTTTTTTCTGTCCAAGAGAGAGGGGGAAATGTGGGAAATGGATTTGTAGGAAATTCTCAAAGCTTGACAGAAGACCCATAGTGGGCATCCATATGCAAAGCTTGAGCTAAGACATGATGATTTAGAAATGCCCTGGAATAGGACAGACATTGCTGAGAGAGAAATGGAACTAGAAACAAGGTTCAAAGGATGGCCTTACAAATAAAACTAGATATTTCAGAGAAACAGAACTATGAAAGATGCATTGCAGTAGGACCCACAAGGGGTTATTTTAGATGACTGGCTTTAAGGCATTTATAACATGGTGTGGCTAAAGCTGATAGACCAAGAAACACTTAAATGTAATTAGGAAATAGTTGGCTGCTGATTGCAATGTCATGAATTATAACATCTGTATTGTCTGAAAATGGAATAAAAGTTTCAAAACACCTCTCAGTTGCCCATCTCTGGGTCAGGAAAGGGCATAACCCAACAATATGGGTTCCTTTTCTCAGAGGTGTTTGTGTTACAGCTGTTTGGGTGTGGATTGAAAGCTGCCTTTAAGACATCCCTGTTTTCTGCACAGAGGAATTTGCTGCCCAGGTGTTGTTTTTTGGTTTTGTCTGAGGTTTTGGATCACCAGGAGTGCTCCATAACCATTTGTGACAGGGAACACAGTGGGATGGACGATGCTGTTTGCAAAAATGTGCCAGGGTAGCACCAGCCCAAGCAGCTGGGAAAGGCTGCTGCTGGAGAGGGCATCCCATGGTTATAAATGCACGGAGGAGGTACCAGGCAGGCTTTATAAAAATGCTAATTATTTATTTGTGTATGTACACAGATTTAAATGGCTTCCAAATGCCTTTTGCCCAGCTGGTGCAGGATGCAATTAGCTTCTTAGAAACTGCAAATGACTTTGAACCTGCTGAAAGTATTCTCAGATCTTGTTGCATTGGCTGGAGTCTTCTACGTTTTACAGAGTAATTTGAGGGATTTTTGTTTCTTTTTTTTTAAAGATTGACCTAAAATACAATTACATGTGTTCCATTTGTGGCTTTTGAGAATCACATAAATGTGTTTTTCTTGAGGGCTCCCCCTACAGTAATGAAAAGGATCAATAATCCTGTAAGGACTGTACCAATCACAAAGAATTATGTGCTATCTTTAAGTGAAAATTGAATTGTGCTTTACCATGGTGTCACCTCACTTTGATTATTTAACCTAAAATGTCAATATTTCATACAAGCAAACAACAGAAGGAGAAATTCCATAACCCTGTAGGATGAACCAGAAGTATTGTTAAATAATTTACGTGAATCAAATAAATCAAACAGCTGTTTTGCCGGTCATTGATCATATATTTATTTCATCTACTGGAGAAGTAGCAATGGATTTGTGTAGCTTAGACTGTTCAGTGCTAAAGGTGATTAATAAAAACTAAAGCAATGTGAAAAGCCTCTTGAAGAAGCAGGAGCACCTACAAAAAACCTTAGCAATGATTATTTTCCTGGATGAGAAGTAATACCACCATAAAAATGTTGAGTTTTTTTTAAATAAATACATAAACATATCATTGTAAATTGCAAAATCAGCTTAGAGAATAATATACTGAGGGACTGGCTGCAAAATAAACATGTAAAAAGAAAGCACAGAAGCCTCTTGTGCCTTGTAATTTCAGTTCAATAGGGTTTTGTTATCTTCCTACTGGTCATGCCAACAAGAGAGATGAATTTAGCAATGATAGGCTGCAAAGTAAAACTGCAAAGATGCTCAGTGAGGCTCAGTGGGAACAGGCTCATTGAAGGGAGATTTCTTCCCCTTAGACCAAGGATTTTTGGAAAACGTGCCATCTTCATTCACTGGTAAAACGGATTAATTTCATGACTTCACCAGCACAAACTGTCTCAAATATTGGACCAAACACTTTTATATCCTTAAGCCCATGAAGAGAACCAGAGTAATTGTGTTCCTTCCTGCCTTGGGCACAAACTGCATTTAATTGAGCCAAGAAAGGACCCAACCTCACCCAAGACTTGCTCAAACCCATGAGGGTTTGGGAGTTACCACTGGAAAAATAGTTCGGAGTTACTATTAAAAAATAACCCAGCATCCAGAAAAAAAACCTGCTATGATTGTCAAAGTTCAGTTAGAAAAGAAAAATAAATAGCAAAATTCCTAAATGTGCCACAAAATTTGCTAAAAATCAAATCCCACCCAAGAGGTTGGGTTGGCTTCAAGCAAAGCCCCTAAACGTGCCACAAAGTTTGCTAAAAACCAAATCCCAGCCCAGGCACTGTAGGTTAAACATTTGCAATATAAAACTGTTGTTCCTTGATGAGGGTCTCATCAGTGGAGTTATTGGAATGACCCCAATGCTCACCTGCTCCCTGCTGTGGATGTCCCCCTCTCCAGGAGGGGTTGGCACTCCAGCACTGGCAAAGATTCTCTTGCTGCCGGACTTGGTGCTGCAGAGCTGAGCCACTGCTGGCTCCGAGCCCAGAAGTGGCACCTGGAGCTGGTCAGCCACAGCCAGCTCATCCAGGTGGGGAACACCCCCAACCATGTAGGCATCCCTGCCCTGGAGCAGAACCTGGAGCCTCTGCAGCGTCCTGGGGCTGTACTTGAGCACCGTGGCCAGGCACATGTGGTGCTCCTGCAAAAAGAGAACATTTATTCTTCATTTATTCTTATGAAAAGTGGGGGTTTTGTTGTTTTTTTTTTCTCCTCCCCCTAATTCCTAATGTTGCCCACAATAAATACATTATTAATAGCAGGCTGGGTTATGACCTATCCTGTAGCTTAGCAGTTTAAATTGATAAAAGCTGTTGGGGTGAGGCTCCATAATCGTGCACATCTTTAGTGGGCTGGAAATGGCCTCGTTGGGAATAGAACTAATTACTACACATCTGTATTTATTTGATCCGTGTGGAATTATCCTTCTGTCAGGCACAGAGGCTGCTGGCCTTTGGATAATAGTGATTCATCTCAGCAACACTCCTGGCATGGTTTAACTCCAGAGCTCCTCAAAATCAATAAAAAAATGAAGAATCTCCCCCTCCCTATAGCAGGCAATGTATTTCACATACAGTTCAGGGTATTTGAAGTGATTCTCTGAGAATAAAACACTTTGATTTACAAAAGCTTTCAGTGCTTACATTAAATTACTGGGGATGCACATTTCCATTTCACAGGAGCTCTGACTGCTGATCTAAAGGAGCATTTAAGGAGAGGGGAGCAGTTTTGTAGTAGGTTTTTTTTTTTTTGCTTAAAACACAAGGGTTCCAACTTTTTTGAAGGAATTTTTCATTTCTTCCCAAAAAAAGATCTATTGCTGAACAAGCAGCTCATGACATACCCTACAAACTGAATTTAATTAAGAATATCAGTCATGGCAGGTGAAACCTCAGAAATGTTTTAAACAACATATATCCCATGCATATATTCCAATTATATTCCCAAAAATATACTGAGGATGAGACAGGGATAGAGAAATCCACTGCAATAAGTTGTTATGAACAAATCATAATCCCCACAAGGAGAAAATCATCTTCCTACTGAGATTTCATCTCATTTAGGCATCAGGAATTTTCAGGATAAGGTAAATCCTGGATTTGCCAGGGATTTCCAGCACTGAAGGACACAGAATATTTTCCTCCCAAGTCCTGGATGTTCATTGCCAGGGACTGAAGTAGAAATCCTGATTTGGATAGGGAGGATGGTGCTGGAAAGGAACACAAGGAATCTCCTTGGTGCTTCCTCACACCAAACACAGCTCCAAAGTGCCCAGATCTCTCTGTGCAGGAGTTGGGCACCCTGCAAGGACAGCAGGAATGGGACATTCCCCAAAGCTTCAGCAAAAAAAGAGAATTACAGAAGTTACAGGGTGAAAAGAACAGCAAACAAATCACCTGGAGCCCTTTTGCTTGGATCAGTTTTAAAGGCAGGACATTGCAAGCCCTGCTCCATGGATGGATTCCCTTTGCGGGGCCTGGCCCAGCCCAGAGCTCTGCCTGCAGGAACAGGATCCATTCCCAGCCTGGGGCCAGTGGGGCTGTGGGGAGGAGATCTGCTTTGTGCCCCTCAATAATGGATTTTACAGCTAATTAAGGAGGTCAGGCTGTAAAAGCTGCTTCATTCCTGCTTTTTGAGAGGGCTAGAGCTGCCAGGGTATATGGAAGTGGGAGGGAGAGCAGGGAAGAGCAGAACTGAGGGATTCCAGCAGGAACAGGGGATATGGGATTAACCAAAGTTCTTGGCTCTCAAACCTGTTGATTTCTGTTTTGTTTTCAGCTTCCCAAGATCCCAGATCTGCCCTTGGCATCAGGATCACAAGGAGAGCAAAGCTGCCTCCCCCTGGACACTCCTCAAGTGCAGGATCAGGCCCAGCTCTGCCTTTCCCACACATTTTCCTGTGCAGGGCTGATTTGTGCCTCTGGAATTGCTAAAAGGAGCCCTCTGAAGTGGCCTTCAAGCCACAATTTCATTGATTGGGAATAAATTTCGATCTATTAGGTGCAATAAAAGTTTTCTATTCAATAACCCAGGAGAAAGATCTTTTATAATAACTTATAAAGCTCAAACCCTTACACAGCCCAGATTGGCACTGGAGCCAAGGGATGACCAAGAGCAGTTCTGAGCAGGTTCCTCTCCACACAGAGAATGTATTAATTTAAAATATTAATTATTATATGATAAAGAACACATTTTAAATGAAAACAAGGTGGGTTTTGCACATTAAAGGTGCATGGCACCAAAGAGCCATGGTTACCTCAACCTGCTTCACCTAAATCTGGTGTTGCCCATTCTCCTGACAGATCTTTGCATTAATTCATAATTGGAAGTTACTATTGCAAAAATAATCCAGAGAAAAACCCTGCTATGACTGTCAAAGTGCAACTTAAAAAGAAAAAATAGCAAAACCAGCAGCAAGGTTTCAAGTAAAGCCCCTAAATGTGCCACAAAGTTTGATAACAATCAAATCCCAGCCAAGACACTGTGGGTTTAATATTTCAATTAGAATATAAATACTATTTAAATTAGAATATAGATTTTAGAATATAAAACTATTGTTCACTGTGAAGTGTCCACTGCACTGCAGCATTTCCAGAAACACTGGACACACTGTACATTAATTAGAACATGTTTTAGCACATGGATTTAAATCTGACTTGACAGGTTTGGAACTAATATTTCTCTATTATTAATTGCTATTCTGGAACTATCACTGTTGTATTATTGGAGCTCATATTTATGTATTGTTCTGACCTGTTTGAAACTCAGATTTCTGTATTATTACCTAACTTTGTTTAAGCCTCGTTCTTTAAGGAGCTCTGCACTGGATTTAGTTGCAAGAGCCACGGCAAACACAGCAATGATTGAGTGCTGGGCTAGCCAGAGATAAAGTTGGAGTAATAAGAATGGTTTATTGCTATGATTTGCTTAGAAATATAAATCTATCAAGTTCCCAGTCCCAAGCACGGAGTCAGAAGGGACAAGAGCCTACAAATAGCCAATTTAGGACTATCTCAAGCAAGTCTATAAAGCTAAACCAGGATATTTATTTCCAATGCTCTAACTAGTAGTCTAATCAGTAAAGCCCTTAAACTTGCAATAATATTTCACTGATGTGTACCAGAGCGTTGCAAGTTATAAAATTTCCAATTTAATTTTACTGCATCCCTCAAGCTGTAGTAATTAGAAGACAAACTCACAGGGAAGCTGTTTATAGCTTCAGGGGTGAGAATTCTGAACCTGTCCTGCAGGTCAGCCATGTCCTCAGGGTTCCCAGATCTAACAGCTGCCTGCAGACCCAGGAGTTTATTGTAGTACTGCAGTAACTCCTCACTCAGAGCAAGGGGGCAGATGTAGATGACGTCCACGTTGGCATCTGAAACAAAGGGGCACGGTGCTCAGTGCTGGGACAAGGGTGCCACACTCCCAACAGCAATGCCAGCATCCCCAACCCTCTGCTCACCAACAGCCCTCCTCCAAATGCACTGCAAATAGAGAAAAATGGGGGTTCATCCCCAAATCTTAGGGCTTTTTGCTGTGCTTCAGCATTTCTCTGCAGGCAGGGCAGTGACCCAGAGGAAGAGCTGCTTCCCGGGATTCAATCTGCACAACATATTGGGGCAGGATTTGGGAAGTGGTGCAGGGGGATTTGTGAGCCCAGCTCCCATTAACATCGATGGGAATTGAACTGCTTGGAAAATATATCCCATTAATGCCAGTAAATTATAAAACTGAGCCATTCAGTTGAGAAAGCTGAGGAAATTGCAATTTTCTACGCTGCCTGGATTTTCCATGGGCTGTTCCTACTCCTGCGCTGCCCACACAAAAGCTCAGGGTGGGGTGTCATTAATAACCATTGCTGGCAGGGCAGTGTGCAGGGCAGCACGGGGGGGAAATCTGCTTTTCCTCATGGAAAACAGCTTGGGCTGAAGGGCTGTGTCCACACAGAAGGAAAATCCGTAACACAGGCAGTTTGGGAAAATTGTAACCACTCTGTTCTGCTAAAATATTAATGGCAATAGATGAGCTAATGAATTAATGGGCCTTGAGGCAGTGATAGGCAAAGAGCACTCCAAGATTTTGATCCAAATCAGTGGGAAGCCTTGCATTGTTTTATTGTGCACAAGTGCCAGGGATAACTGCTATTGCATGGAAGGACTGCAGCACAGCAAGGCCTGGACAAGGAAACCCTGAGCCAAATGTTGGAAAGTGAATGAGAGATCCCATGGCTTGGCTTTGTTTTGCCAGAGCTGCAGGGAAATAATGCACATTTTAAAAGTGAGGCCAGAACTCACCTGAGGCATTGCAGTACCACAGAGCCCACAAGCAGAGTATTTGTATAATTATTTACCAGATCACTTTCAAAAATAACTAATGGAAGAGTTCAGCACCATTCACCAGTCAATACTCAAATGCAAAACTGACAACTCAGGTGAATTTGGGAATAAAAAGCCTCAGCACATTTTACTGCTGTGACACTGCCCTATAAAGAGAGATAAAGTCTCCTCAAGACACAGGGGGGCTCCAGGGAGAGCTTCACTCACAGGAGATCACAAACAGCAAGGAAATCCTCGGCTTTTCCAAAGAAAAACCAAACCAAAATGGAAAATCTCAGTGCTCCTCTGCCAGGCACAGGTAAAGCACGTGATCCAGTCCATAATTTAGTTAATAGTTCACTAGTTTGTATCTTCCTTGTAGTCTATTTTACAGCAGAACCAATTTTCACGTTCAGAAATCAGAAGAAAAATGTTTAATGTGTGACTTTGTCCCTTTAAGTTTCTATCATTTAACAGCCAAAAAAATCCACATTAAAAATATAAATAAAAAACCAGTACAGTGGAAAAAACCCAGTATTAGTGCCTAGATAATATATAAAGGCAATTACATTATTATTTTAGGCAACTGTAAATTTCTGGATCTAATATATTTTTGTTCCAAACTTACTAAATGGCATTTATAAAATAATCATGATCCTGAAATATACATGAATCATGTAAAATATGTCATTCCAGGGAGCCAATGCAGTTGGTCACTGCTAACTAATATCCTTCCCTGCTTTGCTTAAAAGAAGCCTGCCAGGAAAAAACACCCCAAACTTTTAAATAGATGCCTTTTGCCTTATTTGCTGGTTTAAAAGGAAAAAAAAAAGGGTTTAAATAAGGGCTTGCTCTTTTGCAGCACGTCTTTCTCTCTCCCTCATTTTGGGAGCCCTGAATGCTCTGTGGGGCTGAGCAGCTCACAGGAGGAGCTGCTCCACCTCAGCACAGAGGGGCAAAAATATCCATATTTTTTATGGATAACATGGCCAGAAATGCCACAATTCCTTCTCAGCTTCTCCCTGCTCTATATTTAATACTAATAATAAAAAAAAAAAAAGTCCTTGTGCTGTTTCCTTTCAGTGACAGCTGGGGGAATAACCAGAGAGCAGGAGCTGATCACATACCCAGGATGTCAGAGCCTGTGCTCTATATTTGATATTAATAATAATTTTAAAAAGTCCTTGCGCTGTTTCCTTTCAGTGGCAGCTGGGGGAATAACCAGAGAGCAATAATCAGAGGGGCTATCACCTACCCAGGATGTCACAGAGCCTCCCCATCTGCAGGTTCTGCTGGACAGCAAGGTCAGGGATGTGCTCACGGATGTGTTGGGAATACCCTGGAAAACAAGGAAAGCCCCCCCTCAAACTGCAGTCAGAAAAACCCTGGTACAGATTTGGGGGAAAAAAAAATCAGATTTCTGGATTCAAAAAAGCTGGGAAAAAACCCTGTTTGAAATCTCACAGCACTCACTGCAGCATTTCTCTGAATTTACTTTTATTACTGATGTAACTTCACATTTTTCTCTCATTTAAATACAGACCTGAATGTTACAGCCCTACAGAGTTTTCTAATTTAACCATGCAGACCATTTTGCTGGGAGTCTTTCATGTTGCTGGATAATTTTTTTTTTTTGTAAACACTGGAGAAGAAAAAAAAAATGACACCATCATTAAGCAAGAATCCTGGTAATTTTGTCCTTCACACAGATAAAAGGCACCCGAGCCACTTCATTAAGGAGATGTCTCAGTGCTACCTGCTCACTTTGTTGCAGAGGAAAGGTGAGTGACAGCCTGTCTGAGCCTGGATTATCCCTTATCAGGTCACAATTCCAGCTGATTCCCTGCTCACGTTCAAAAACGCTGCAGGAAACGACAGCAGCACTGTAACTATAATTTTTTGAAGGCTGTAATTTTCAAATTGGTGGAATTCCAAAGGAATTGTGGTGTCTGTGCAAACAGCCACAGATCTACTGACAAGCACCAGCAGGGATATTAATTGTTTAATCCATCAGGATTAATCCCATTTTTCAGTGTTTGCCATAAAAACTTGACTGATTCAGGAACAAGATCCTTACATTTCCAAATATCTGCACATGGAAAATTATCAGAAACTCAGGGAAAGCTTAATTTGGCTAAAATCTGCTCAGTTATTTCAGTGCTTTCATGTAGAGAACAGCAAAGTGGATATTTCAGCCTAATTACAAAGACAATTACTACAAGCGATCAGCATTCTAAGGTGCTGTGGCAATTGCACACAGAACATGAGAAAATACAGAGAAATTTAAATTACCAGTTTAATTTTTGGTCATTTCTTACCAAATTTACATTACAGTCAGCACAGTGGTACCAGGCATTTGGAGAACTCATCTAAGAAAAATATATTGATTTTATTTTTTTTTTACTCCTCTGGTATTAAGCTACAGTAATTAGAAAAAAGCTTGCTCAGAGTATTTAAACTTTAGTCTCAAGGCTTCATTTTGTTCTCCCACCCAATTTGAAGGCACTAGAAATGCTGCCTAATATTTTCAAACCATTTAAAAGTCAGCCTCAATGCAGCTCATTCCCTTACCCTGAAAACATTGGGTTTTAGGAATGGAGCAAAAAAATAACATGCTAATATCACTTGGAAAGCCAGGAATTATTTGAAAGCAATAACAAAGTGGCAATTAAATAAGCTAAAATCTGCATTTTGCTCAGGCTCTGCAGATGCAGTGCTGTAGCACTGTACTTTGCACGGGGAGGTTAATAAACCATATTAAGTGACAATATATTAACTTGCACTGGCATGACCCCATTAGATTTAATGAGGAATATTCACTGCTGGTGAGTCCTCCCCTCCCACTGGGCAGGATGAACCACATTCCTCCTGACCCACCTTGAACATTCCAAACTCCACAACTGGACACCTGAGAAATCTCATTAAAGGGTTAATTATTAAAAAGATATTCCTTTTCTTCCAGTTTAAACAAACCCCAGGCCAAATAAATGCAATATATGGTGATCATAGCCTCATGTTCCAGTGCAGCTGTGCCCATCAGTTCTGGTTCCTGCACAAGAAATTCCAAATGGTGCCTGGAATTTGGGATGTGGACAAAGGAGCACTTGGGAGCGGGACTGGGTTTGGCATTCATGACTCCAAAGTGCAGGAGCAGTGCTAAAGTAAGAGGAATTAATTCCCCTTCCAACCTCAGCCCTTTAATGACCCTTTAATTGACATTTCCTTAATAAATTCTGCTCATCTCCAAGTGGCTTCTCCCAACAAAGAATCCTCAAATGTTCCCTGGAGAACAGGAACAGCAGAGGGGGACAGGACGGAAAGTTCTTGGGCAGGATCTGAAGGGGAAGGAGGAAAAGGAGCTGGGATCACTCACCTGCAGCTCCCCAGGACCTGGGACAGCTCTGGGAAACAACAGCCAAGGTTTCATCAATAAACCTGAACTTTTCTCTCTGTGCTTGGCACACATTTGTGGCAGTAAATCTGATTTAAAGGTTCAAATTCATTTCTCCTCACTCTGCCTGACAACAATCCTTGAGCACTGGATTCTGCTTTGTTTTTTAGCTATCCTAGAAATCCCAAGTTTTTCTTTGGGTGAAATAAATGGAACCATTTGCTCCTCCCAGCAGTACAATTCAAGCCCTTCACCATCCCTTTTCCTGGATTATTTCCAGAAACTTGACATGAATCTGAAACTGTTGTGAAATGAGAAATTCACCCTCCTGCCTCTATTACCATTCCTTGGAATTCCACCTGCAAGGGAAGAAAAATCAGACTCTGATTTGTCCCAAATGCTGAAATCAAGGACACTGAGCAGAGAATTTCAGGTTTTATTTCTGATTTACAAAACTGACCAGACAAATCACTGAGTATCATCAAACTTTGGTGTGTTCTTGTCAATCTGCTCTATCCCAGGTTTTGTAGCTTAAAAAATTTCTTATGGTTGCAAAAGGGAGTAAAAAATAAAAATACTGCCGAAATCAGCAGGCATTTTGCATACTTAGTCCTTTCTGACTAAGTCAAATGTTTGCTGTTTAAATTTTCCAGCTTCCTCTAAGTCTACTCCAATAATTCTTAATTTTAAATTATCAAATGTGCAGGAGCAGAATAATTAAACATACAAAATTTTTATTGTTAGATTTTAAAAGTTTTTAGTGTAGGGATTTTATGTTTTCACCTTTTAAATTTTTAAATATCAGCTGTTCTTAAAATTAGATCAAACCAAAATTGCTCAGTGTCAATAATTTTTTGTTGCTGTGTCTCAAAACCAGTCTAAATCTTAACATTTCAAAAGAAGGAAAAAAACCCCAAATATTTCCATTACATTTTAATAAGCTTATCATGATTTAATCCATGTAAAATCCCAATGGAATACTGGAAATATCCAGACATAGCTGCATTTAATAAAAACAAGCAGGAATAACTTTTCCAAACAGCACTTTCAAGCCCCTCTTTTAAAGGGAAGAATTTATATTTTTTCAATATTTTAACCTACTTATATAGGTTTTCTAATTTTCTAAAAAAATACCTGCACTCAAATTATCTTTCTTATATTTTCTTCCTCATTAAGGGGGAGATTCCACTCAAATCCT